ATTCATAATTGCCAAGTCATGGAAGAAGCTGAAGTGCCCAAGGACCCATGAATGGATTAATAAATTGTGGTATATGTACACCACGGAATATTATGCAGCCTTAAAAAAGGTGGAGACTTTACTTTTTTTATGTTTACATGGATGGAGCTGGAGCTTAGTAAAGTATATCAAGAATGGAGCAAAAAGTATCCAATGTACTCAGTACTATTAGGAAACCAATTTACAATCATTCATACTTTCATATGAAGAACAGATCACAACTATGGCCCAGGATGAAGGAGGGAGTGGGGAGAGATCAGATGGAGGGAGGGTGAATGGTGGGATCACACCTATGGATATTACATATACACATCTGTGCATATTACAAGGGTATGTGTTGGATCTATTAGTATAGAGTATAAATGTCTTATCACAATAATTAAGTAAATGAAGTGAAGGATATATTAACAAGTACGATGTAAGCATTCCAGATTGTATATGAAATCAGCACATTGTACCCCATAAATGCATTAAGGTATACATGATCTACCTCTTTATGATTTAATTAAAAAAAAAAAAAAGAGGAGGTCTGGAATTACCTTAAAAAGAAACAGGACCAGCTCAAATTCAAGGTAACAACTTGAGAACATGATATCTTAAAAACCCTATTTGGAATCATTTTTCATCAGATAATTTATTTCATAGTTTGGTTTATGACTTCACATTTCACTCTGTAATGACTCAGAGTAAGGCAATGCTTACTTATCATCTTATAAAAGCTAGATTCAAACTGAGGTAAAGTCCACAATGACATTAGATATCACAAAAAATCTTAAGAGCATTCTCTTATATTTGTATAATTTCTGACATATTTTTGTTACATTTATGTAAAATACTGTTTCTATTATCACAAAAATTTTTAACCTTAAAATACCACCCTGCCTTGTAGCTATTGCTTTTCCTGTTTTATGGATGAAGAAACTGAGTTTTAAAAATGACACAGTCCATATTTTATAGTAGGGAGACATGTGAATACTCTTCCCAAGTGGTTTATGTTTTGAATTTGTTTTAACTACAGATCAAAAAATAACTTGAATTTGTTTCTTTTGTCCATGTTTTTTTTTGTTTAGGAAACATAAAAAAAAAGATTATCCCAAATCTATTGAAAGAAAAAACATAAAAGAAAAGTCACTTTAAAGAGTTTTATGAACACTATCAGAAGCATATATCAATAACTTCTATAATTTAAACATGGCTCAAGCTTCATAGAAACTATTTAGGAAAGGCAAACTAAATTTAAAAAATGATCCTTCTTGCAAATCTAAAAGTGTTAAGTGTCACTACAAATCAGCACTTGTGCTAAATAGTAATCCCTGTCGTTCTCCTGTTTTTAAGAGCTCTTTCGTATTTGCAAAAATGATATCCTAGATAGCAGGCCAGACTTTTCACCAAAGGATGCAACTAGTACCTTGAGTTTTTCAAAAAAACCTCGGGTTTTTCAATTACTGGGATAGTTGGCAATATTTGACTTTGCAATTTTATGAGTTAACCAAAACAGTGGTGAGTCCACTGATGTTTGAGAAGAATTCAGGTTAGAGAATAAAGCCCCAAACATTCTCAACCGGACAAGAATTCGTCATATTCCTAGAAGTACAGAATTACCATAATTAAATCTATAAATGTAAACAAATCTATGTCTGTCAGCAGACACGGAATATTTCTAGACAAGAATATTTATAAGTATGTACATTTGGGGGCTCAACCCTAATAATAGTTCAATAGACGTAAGAACATGAATCTGTTCTCAGTGCTCAAAATAATGTATTCAAGCTTCAGATTCCATTGTAGTACAATAAATATATTAATCATTAAATGTAAGAGAGAATTTGAAAAGTTTCAAAAATGGGCAGCCATTGATTTCTGAATGTACAAACATCACCCCTTTGCATTGGCAATAGCCGGAGACTTAATTAGAATTGCAAAGAGACACATAGATCATCTAGTTCAACTCCTGCTATTGAGAGACAAGGAAACTTGGCCCAGGGAAGAGAACTTTAACTGAGATTTAGCTGAGGTAAATGTGGAATGAAAATCCAGGTATCCTGATTCACAGTTTAATGCACTTCCCAGAAGTAGCATCGATATAAATAACCTCATGTAATTTCATCTGGCAAGCAAATTCACAGTCTATGTAGAACTTCAAGGATCACGCTGAGTTTGCTGTTCTATCAAATTCGAAAGCACCTTCCATAACAAATTATTCTAATTCATTTAGCATATTACAAACACTCCTCTTACTATTCCAGTTCTCTTCTAAGTAACAAATACAAAACAAAAATTGGGTTCTTTGAGTATCTTTCTCACAATCATTCCTATTGAAAATACCCAGCAGAAACAAGTAAAATAAAACAAACTATGGTGTATAACAGAAACAACACGGTAACAAAGTAGTGATGTTAACCCCACAGGCTTCAACTCTAAATAAATAAAGCAGTGGCAATTGGCACTGATTTGCACCTATCACCAATCAACAGCAAAGCAACTCACTGTGAAAGCTCATTGGTTTAAATCACTACCCTGATATACATTAGCTTCTGGAAAATCATTCTGAAACACTGAATCACCTGGATCATTTTTATTTCTCACTCAGGCTTGACACTGTCTGCACGGCACAGACTGAATGTACTTCACTATGCACCCTCTTTCCAAATGAATATCTATGTCAGATGTATTTATAGCCACTGCCTCCAATCAGTGCATTTTCAGGTATGGGAAATAAAATCGTGTCAAAAATACTTTTCTATAAAGATCTGAAACAAAACCTGGAAATCTTGGCAATGGACATTGGAAAGATAATAAAAGATTTATCACAAAAAAAGTACATTAAGATTGATTAAGATTCCAAAGAACACCCATTTTATACTCTTTAATAAGCATGCGTAAAGTCCATGACAATTAGAGAAGTAATTTAAACACTAAGCATCTTTTGCATGACTCCTTAAGTACTTCGAGATTATTATCATCACATTCTCCATTCTCTTTTCCTTATTATGATTTCAGTGAAATTTGGGCACCCTCTTTGTTTCTTACTTAGATGCTTTTCTCTATATAAGCCTTGCCTCCTAATTCTTTACAAAAGCGGAACATACTTCCCCCTGCTGGGAAAAAATCAAATTACAGCATAGACCAGAACCGGTTCCTAACTACTGTATCAAGAAACCAAATTCCTGGGAAAGATAAAATGTTAAGGAACCAGGTGCATAGCCTTCTCTGAGGGTTTTTCCAGGCACAAAAATACCTACGTATTCTTTTAAGAGTTTCTTTTATGAATTTCTTTTGGTTGGCAGTTTTCAAGTACAATAACTCACATTAATGATTGATGAATTCATCATTGAGCCAGTTGTCCCAAATAGAACTCCAATTAGCAGGTCAGAGAAAATGATCAATTTACATTTTTTTCAATTTAAAGAAATCACTGGTTAAATGAAGAAAGTTATGGAGAATATATTAAATTGTTTTAGAAGGCTTAACTGCACTTTAATCATTTCAAGCAATTTTAAGTATTCACTTGTCATTTTCCTAATATTTTTATGTAGTTGTCCTTTTGTAACAAAAGAGTAGAAAAATTTAATTTGTAAATTGCCTTTATTCTTCCATTTTAATATTTTTTTTCATTTAGTATGCAAGAATGTAGTCAGTCTGACTGAATTTTACCTCCATTCTTATCTCCAAAACAATTTTTTTCCTTGAAAACATTATAGCTCTTTTAACGTCTCATGTTTTGACTATAAATCTTTTCCTAATGGTTTAGAATGCAATGCAAGCGTGGAAAAACACCTTACACTTTAATGTCATCATAAATAACAATCCATCAATAAAATATTAAAATAAATCTAATGCCTAGTTGCATCACATATGGAGGATCAGAATTTATCCGTCTATGGTACAACTAAGTCTCAAAAAAATTGTTTTAATGCTGAAGGGCTTAGGTAGAGGAAGTTGTCCCTTTTAGTTTTTTGTTTTCAGTAAGTCCATAACAACCTGGCTACAAAACTGCCTTGTAGCCAATTTGATGATTAAGCAATTCATTATTAATGAAGCATTCATCCAAAAAAATCTGCAGATGTTTTTAAAAGGCATGTGCAAACTACTACAGATATCAGGGGTGTCTTTAGCAGTTAGAGGACAGCATTTATCCACGATAAATGGAGTAATCTGTTTAATATTTGTCATACAGAAGTTTGTGTGTGTGTGTTTTAAAAACAACCTTTCAAAGCAATGCAGAAGACTAGGCATGTGTTCCTAAGGGAATGAAATCTCCTTTAACGTTACAGGTACACAAAAGAAAATGCACACTTGGTAAATCAGTTGATCAATTACGGAGTGTTCCCAGGGAGCAGTATCTTACAAAGTACCCAATCATCGCACTTCAGATAAATTTATAAGCACTTCAGCTTCTCCTCACCCCATTCACATACACACAAGAACATGCATAGCTTCATCTGGGTAAATTCTAAGACTTTCCATAGGAACGACTTTAATTAAAGGGTATCAGAGTCACTTTCCAAATGCAGCCCCCAAAACAGAAAAAGAAAAGAAAAGAAAAACAGGAAAGAGAGAAAATAAAAGGAGAAAAAAGAAAAAGAAGAAGAAATGCTGGTTGGTAGCTAAGAAGCCCTCAGAACACTACTCTGATCACCATTTACTTCCAAACTGATGTGTGTTCCCTGTGCGAAGTGGCAGTGTCCCTGTAGACCGCGTTACACTTTATGGTTTCTCTACCAATGATCCTAACAGGTCACATCACCACTGCCACTAGATCAGACAGCTTTGATCGTCCCCAATTAAGACCTGGAGAAGGAGCATCACTGTGCGCCGGAGCTCTGAAGCCAGCATCTTCAGGGGGACAGTTTCTGCGAAGGCGGAGACAGGCATCCCTCCCCAACTTAACTCCCCGAATCGAGCCGCGGCCGAGGTGGGCAGCAGGCGGTCTGTGCCCATCTGTGGGGGGTAAGTCCTACCTTCTGCCAAAAGGCGCGATGCATGCACAAAAGATGGATCCAGGCTATCTTTCTCTGCCATCAGCTCAGGCAAATATTTCTCCTCTTCCATAGCGCGGACTTCGGACTGTCCCTGGGCGAAGCGCGAGGTTCCGCTCGCTCGGACGCAGGGTCGCGGGGCAGAGCCTTGCTCCGCGCTGCTCCTCCTCCGCGCCGCCAGGGGACTTCTGCGCGTCCTCACTGGCCCATGCACCACGCGCCTGCGACTCCCGCCGTCGGGCTACGCGGCCTCGCGCCCACACCTGCCCGTCCCTTCCGTCGTCCCTCGCTCGCGCGGAGCCCAGGCTCACACCAGCGGCCCTAACTGAAGAGGCGGGAGCAGGGCGCGGCCCACCTCCGCCAGCCACTCATTGGTGGCGGTGCCAGGAGAGGCGGGACCCTCACGAAGGCTGCGGGCTCTCATTGGGCCAGGCGGCACGTCGAGTCGCCTGACTGACAGGAGGTAGCTGCAGAGGGGAGGGGAGCTCGGAAGGTGCAAACGCTTTCTTCTTGCAGCCCAAGCCTTCCCTGGTTATTAGGCATGCCCAGTTCTGTGGAGTCCTCTCTGTCTTCAGCTGAGGTGCTGAGAGGCTGGGGGAGAAAGAGAGCGGGCAAAGAACCAGTTAAACCGAGAGGCCGGGTCCAAGAAGGCAGGGGAGGTGAAGGTGAGGAGTAAACCTGTGATGGGGCGGAAAGCGCCGGGGAAAGTCTCCGAAATGTAAATGGGACTTCACCTGTGTCCCTAAGGCACAGGTGTCTCCCTCCTCTCACGCAGCTCAGACGCGCTCCGGTTGTACAGGAATCAGCGGCGCACTGGGGCCGAAAATACAATGAAGACCTCATGTGATCGGCAGCTGGTATTTCCGATGACCTACATCTTGGGGACGCAGTAGGACGTTCATCGATATACAAATAAAGCGCTCCGGGGCAATATTATAAAGCAACATGCTTCTACTGTCCAATCACCGAGACCTTGAATTCTACTTACGGTCCATGCCTCTTTCCGCATCCCCATCTGTGTGTGTGTGGGGGGGGGGGGAGGATGAATTTTAAATCTTAAAAGCCACATAATCAACTAGTCACAATTTATGAAGGAATTGGGAAAACATGTGGAGGAAAGAAAAAATTAGCAAATAGGAAACCACGGCTGCTCTAATTTTCCCCTTTCCCCTTACTTGAGATGTGACAGTCTCTTTCACCAAGTACTGTGCTGAACTTCCATCATCCCACCTCTATTTAAAGGAAAGTTAAACTCTCACAGTATAACCGACAGTGAAGTCAAAGCCCATCCTTCTCTCACCAATGAGGCCCTACAATGGAGCTTGCTTACTACAAACCCCACAAAAACAATACTTCCCGGGGGCTTGGGTCCTCTTTTCAGGAACAGTCACTTTCCAATTCTCCTCTTCCCCACCAAAGAAGAGGAACCATCTCTCCAACAAATGAAATATTCTGAAACCTTTCCTGTTTTCTCTTACTGTATTCAAATCTCTCCCCTGTTAATAGCTTTTTACGTGAAGTTGGGGCGTTATCTTACATTCGTAGAACATGGAAAAAGTTTGAACTCTCTCATCTGTTAAATCAATATTTCTCACAGAGACACTCTGAAAAACATGGGCTAAACATTACTTTCTGTTTTTATAGATGTGGAAACCGAGGCAAAGATAAAAACTCAAGTCTCTTATCTGGTTAATGCTAAAGTCAGATTGATCCAATCCAATTATTCTGCCGTCCTCTTCTTATTTATTTTGGGTGGGAAAGAGGTTGATGGAGCACTTGCAATTATCCTACAGTTTTAAAGAAGAAAAACATAAATTTAAACTCACCTGAGGCTGTTACTATCTATTTTAGGTTACATAAAATAATTACAATGTCTTTATTTTGGTTCAGAATTTTTTTGCATGTAATGCTTCTTGGCTCTTAATAACACTTCCAAAGAAGAATATGTAAGTTAGAATTAAGGATATATACATAGCGTATTTTCACTTTGATTGTGTGCACAATGTTTAGTAGTTAAAGGATCATTCATCCGGCACCCAGTGGGCAATACAGATGCAAGGGGAATACATGTTGCCCAGTTTCAAAGGTGGCCAGGATTTACCATAGGAGTGACGGACAAGACACTAAACACAGCTAATTAGCTGTTAACATTTTAGACTAAATAGAAATTAGAAAAATTATTGTACAATAATTGCAAGCACATTTTTCTTTGTACCCTATCAAGAGATTTGAAGCATGTGGTGTTGATGGGGATATACACAAACCCATTTTATGAATCCAAACAATACAGTAACTCTCATATCCAGCAACAGCAAATCCATTATTATTTAAAGTCTTCTTCCCATGATTAAAGGTGTACCAAACAGACACCACAGAGAGGCATCTAAGTGCCGACTTTATTATACAATGTTTCTTGGATAGCCAAGTTATTACAAAATGGTCAGCAGCCTAAATTTATTTATGTTAGTGGTCGTCAAAACTAAGGGTTTATTATTGATACTTTTCAAGTCAACCCTCATAAAATGCATTCTAACAGAAACAATGTATTTATGTAGCTTAAAAGATTAAAAGGAAATAAGCATCCACCTTTAGAACAATTTGTGCACTTAGTTACATGATGGCAAACTTAAAAGAAAAATACATGAACTATATTAACACTGAAGAATCAATATGCTTCAGAATTGTTTTACAAAATATTGCCTATTTTTAAACAGAATATGACTGCATAAAGACACACTCCAAGTGGGCCGCTCATACAATCGCCCGGCGTCAGATCGGTGTGTTTTCAATAGATGGCTCTGTGTTGCCCTGTGTTCTCCATTGATTTCACATACATATTTGATAGGCACCACATTATTTATTGAATATTCTCAGAGCAACCTGATGAATGCGAACCTTTTATAAACATAAATGTAAATAGATTAAGACTCTTCTAGAAATGATGGTTGAATTTACAGCATTTTGTGCTATCCGTGAATAAATTATAACTGCTGGCAAGCCCACCCCTTCTTCTAATGGTGTAAATAACTTAGCCAAAATTACCATTAAATAGATTTGCCTAGCTCAAGTGAAGATACGTTCTTATTTTAAACATGAGTTCTAGTTCCAAAAGGTTCTAGTCCCAAAGGGTTTAATGAAAATGGGTTTGTCGTCACTGCACCATTATTTTTTTTAAAAATGGTATATTATGGAAAATGTCCCTTTATCAAATTAAGTTCAGAAGGATGAATCGGTCATGCATTATAAAATATGTCCTGTGGTTAATGCACAAACTGTGTGTTTAATACTCTCACATAACCATGTGGGAAAGGTCAGGCTAACAGGCATTTAATCAGGCTTGTCTTTGCTCACTAATAAAAAATATCTAGCCTGACCTATCAAATAAAACACTCCATTTCCCTTTCCTTCAAAGCTCCCAACAACTTTGTGGGTACAACGCCAACATGACTATTCACTGCAAGGACTCAGCAGAACCCCTGCGCAATAAGGACCGTAAGTTAAAGAAATTGTCATGCCACGGTAATGTATGTGATAATAATGAAGAATGGTGGTGTTACTATCCACTTATTCTTCCAATGTCTTGGTGCCTGGGACAGGGTATAAAAAAGCACCAAAATATTGACTGACTCATTTCATTTACTCAAAGAGCCTGCCAGAGCCCACTATTTAGAAGATGCTATTTTAGTATCTTAGTTTATTTTAGTTTCATTAACTACATAAGTGAAATTGGTTCCAATTTCTTTTATAACTTCATGATAATTATTTCAGGCTTGTAAGAGGGGACAAGGAAATGAGGACTTGCCTATGCTGATAACCAATAGTAGTAATAACGTGGTGTGAGAAATCTCTCATATGTAATGTGCTGAGAACCAAAATTCATTCTACATGCTACTGAACCACAGCACAACACAAATATTTGCCTGTGGAAGCTGGCGAGTGTACGTGTGTTTTCTGATTAGAAAGCATTCAAATTAGCATACTATATTTAAGCTGATACAGCTCTATAATGAAAGAACATCAAAAGAGAGAGAAAAAGAAAAAAAAAGAGGCGGTGCCTGTGGCTCAGAGGAGTAGGGCACCAGCCCCATATGCCGGAGGTGCCAGGTTCAAACCCAGCCCCGGCCAAAAACTGCCAAAAAACCCCAAAAAACAAAACAAAACAAAACTGACATGTGTCAGGGCCCGCTACTGTGTTAGAAATACTTCTGAATCCTCACAACTGGAAAGAAAAAAGGAAGGTCAGTGAAGAAATGGTTCTTAATTCCAAAGTCTCCCAATAGCCCAGGTAAACTTTTGCCAGTGCAGCAATTATTTGCATTTGGTACAATGACAGAGTTCAGGTTGTATTTCTATGAACAATGGCTGCATTGACACATTGGAGGGGTGGGTGATTGACAACAGCTGAGTGGCAGAACTTCATTATAAATGAATTGGGAATGGAGCCCTCCTTCCAAGGTGAAAGTTATTGACTGTCTTCTTAAAATTAAACCCTCGAATTGTTGAATCTTAGCTCAAGTATTGATTATTTCTGGAGATCAATAGATTAAGGTAAACAAATCACATCAGTAAAATATATTTTTCATACACAGCAAATGAAGATCCGATCTCTGTTGTATTCAGTATAGAATAAAAAGATGAAGGCTAAGAGACGATTTAATAAAAAACAATCTTAAAGCACAGTAAAATTCTTGTCACAAAGGCAGATATATAAGCAATTGTACATCACGACTAAGGTAAGGGAAGAAAGACTGTGGTACATTTCAATTTAATTTAGAGAGTATAACAAAAACACCCCTGGAAAAGATTATTAATACTGAAATAGTATTTTAAGAGACTATCATCCCATAATCTCTTAATAGGCAATTCAAGTTTTCAAATTACTACAGATATTTGTTTGGTATATCTTTTGTCATTGTAATATCGCATGTAAAAAGATGTTGCTACACCTGTAATAATAGTTACAAAATCCTCCTGTATAAAATAGGTTGTGTAAGGCAGGTCCCAGGTATTTGAAGAGAATGGTAATAAAATTAAAAAACACAGTTGCAAATTTAACAATCCATCAGGTGGGAGAAAACAAAATTAAAAAAAAAAAAACCTAAGACATAGACAATGTGTAAGGTGCTGGCTGATGAGCTATCATGGCCATCTAACCAGCACAGAGCTAATAAATATGATGATAATTATCTCAATATATAAAACTGAATGTATAATATTGGACTGTATATGGAACAGATTGTATTTCTATTTTTTTTCTTGACATAATAGGCATCAGTGGGACAATGGATGAAATGTAAAAAAAAGGTCTATTATTTTAATTTACTGATTTGTATAATGGTATTATGGTT